TGTGTGTCTCTGTGTGTGTCTCTTAGTGTGCCTGTTTGTGTGTGTCTCTGTTATCTGTCTCTGTATGTCTCTGTGTGTGTATGTCAGTGAGTAAGGTGACAAATGGCCCCATGCAGGTCTTCGCAGGTGTGGTGGCTGCCCATGTCCCTAGATCCCTCCCTGCTGGTCGTCTGGCCTATGGAGTGGGATAACTGGGGGAAACAGAAACGCCACTTGGGTGTGTGAGTGTGCACACACACACAGATACACACAGAGATTCACAGATGCACACATGCATAGACACAGACATATACACACAGATAAACAGAAACAAATAAACACAGAAATATACACACACACACACACATACAAATACAGAGATGCACACACAGATAAACAGACACACACACACAGATCCACACACAGATAGACAGACACACAGGCGGCACACAGACAGATACACCCACACAGGCATACATAGACGTACACACAACATGGCAGAGAACCCAGTAAGCAAGGTAGGCACGAGCTGACTGGCGCTTAGTGACTGACTCATGGTAGTGGACAATCCACTTGGGTTGAGCCAGGAAATCATGGATTCACATATGAAGATGCTGACACGGATGAGTCACTAAGCACCAGTCAGCCGGTGCCTACCTTGTAGGCTGTTCCTCCAGCTCGCCCAGACTGCAGGCTGGAAGAGGCTTTGATTTCCTAGCAGGTGCCAGCCATACCTAGAAGTAGAATTTTGGATGTGGCGAGAAGATGTGAAATTGTGCACTACAGTCAGTAGTAAGCACAAGCCCGCCCGTGCTTACCTCCACACTGGGTAATCTGACACTTAGGCCAGGCGCGCAGGCGCTGGCAGGTCCCGGCAGACAAGGCTGCCGGGCACCGGCCGCTCGGCACACAGGAAGGGCTCACACCACCCGGGTCCCGGCGCGCCGCTGCGGGCCTCGCGCCCAGAGCTGGGGGGAGGCTCTCCGGAAGGCGGTCTCCGGAGAAAGTCCCCAGACTCAGCTGACTCCTGGTTTTCCGGTCCCCAAGCGGGCATCCAGGAAAAGCGGAGCGGTTCCGCACCACCCCACCTCCGGATGTCGCCCCGCAGCCCCACCGGTTGAAATGAGCCGAGTCCCCAAGGCCGGTGATCATCTCCGGCCCGATCCCGCGGGGCTCAGTTCGGCCAAGTGCCCCAGCCGGATTCTCCCTCCCAGCCGCAGGACCCTTAGCCCCCTACCCCTGCTCACCCCCGACTCCCTGGACGCCGTTCAGGGGCCCGACGACCCCCCGCAGGGAGTGGTACCTCAGCCGCTGAAGCCCCCCCTGTCCAGTCCTGGGCCGTGGAGTTCCCCCGCCCCCCGCCTCCTTCCG